TAGCAGTAGTAGTATCAGTAGTAGTAGTAGTAGTAGTAGTAGTAGTAGTAGTAGTAGTAGCAGTAGTAGTAATAGTAGTAGTAGTTGTAGTAGTAGTAGCAGTAGTAGCAGTAGCAGTAGTAGTAGTAGTAGTAGTAGTAGTAGTAGTAGTAGTAGTAGTAGTAGTAGTAGTAGTAGTAGTAGTAGTACTGGTAGAAGTAGAACATAGTGGCCTTCGGCACATCCGACACCGTGCCTGGGCTGAGCCTGAAGGGCTATGGATAGGGGGGCCCGCCCTCTTGTCTTGTCACTGCGCCTACGTAGGACACAGATACACATTAGGCTATGAGCCCGCCCTCGACTCTGCTTCACTGCCGCCTTGTCTTTTCTCGCTCTCCCCCTTGCTGGCCGCGCCACTCTCAGCTGCACCTGCTCTGGCACGGCCTGCCCAGGCAGCCGTGCCCTTCTGCTGACGCTGCAGGCGCGTGCGCCTCCTCGCCCGCGCAAGAAAAAAACAGGAGGCAGGCTGCCCGCCTGCTGCTCTCCGCGCCCCTGGGGTCCTCCAACGGTTTAGGCTTTGGTCCCTGCTTCGGGCTTCCATGTCAGGGGAAAGAAGACTATCATAAGCACAACAACTCGGAGGTACGCGCGGATTTCTCGGACCGGCGCTGGGCCCCCCCTTCCCTGGCGCGCGGATCGCGCCAGGGGCGGCGCTGGCGGCGCCGCCAGGGGGGCCCAACGCAGATCCGAGGAATCCGCTCAGAGCTCCGAGTTTTTAGGTTTATGTCATTCTTCGTTCCCCTAAATGTCCCCGACGTGTCAGGCGCTGTCTTTGCCCCGCTCTCTTGCACCTGCCCTTAGCTCTCGATGGGGCCGCGCTTTGCTTCGCGCCGAGGCCGTGGCAGGGTCCACTCCTCTCCGAACCATCCGATTCGATAGCGATTTCGGCCTGCCCGGCATTTCGCCGATCCGACGTGCTCGATGCTTGCGTTATGGCGTTGTGAATTCTGGCGCGTCCGAGTCGAACCGATTCCGACTTCTTGCCGATGCGGCCCCGATCGGGGAGGTAGGAGGAGGAAGGGACGCCTGGCAGGAATCGAATCACCTTCCGCCGCAGAACTGGCGGCTTTGGAACGGAGTCCCTCTGAGTATGCAGATCTTACCAGCCTGGAACATATCCCTACCCCTATGCTGGGCACCTCCTCATCACGACGCCACTCTTAGGGATTCCCTCATTATGTGAGGGCGAATCCCCAAGATTGTCATCGCCTTTTAGCGTGTCAATCTTGGGGGTAGGGATACGTTCGAGGCTGGTAAAGAGGAGGAGGGGGAGGAGGAGGAGGAGGAGGAGGGGGAGGAGGGGGAGGAGGGGGAGGAGGAGGAGGAGGAGGAGGAGGAGGAGGCGGAGGAGGAGGAGGGGAGGTTACGTTCGAGGCTGGTAAAGATCTCTGTGCGCGCTGCCATCGCCGGCCTTCCCGTGGTGGCGGGCGCGCACGCGCGGACGCCCCTCCTGCTCCCTCGGCCCGCGGGCCCGCGGAGGCCTTCGTCGGGGCGCAGGGCATCCGCGCGCCCGACCCGCGCGTGGCGCGCCTCCCCGCCGCTCTCGCGCCCCTCCTTGGACAGAAGGGAGCGAAGCATTACGGTAGGTTTGCGTCGTGTCGACCAGCGGCGACCCCAGCGCGGGCGTTCAAGGTTGAACGCCGCCGGCGACCCAGAATCGATCGATGTTGAACGATCGGACGTTGCGGCAGCGGCCGATCGTTCAAGGTTGAACGATCCCTGCGGTGTCAAACACCAACGCTGGGGTCGGCACGACACGAACCTGCCGTACATGAGCATAGAACAAGTCGGAGGCCCTCGCGGACTTCTCCGCGCCCCTGGGGTCCTCCAACGGTTCAGGTTCTGGTCCCTGCCTCGGGCTTCCACATCAGGGGAACAAAGCATTGCCCAAACATTAATAAGTCGGAGGCCCTCGCGGACTTCTCGGATCCGCGCTGGATCCCCTTTCCCTGGCCCGCGGAGCGCGCCATGGGGCGGCGCCGGAGGTGCCGCCATAGGGGGGCCCCAGCGCCGATCCGAGAGAAGTCCGCGCGGGCCTCCGAGCTTTCGTGTTTGTGCCATGTTTCGTTCCCCTAGCGTCAGGAGGGGAAAAAAAACACAGACACAATTTATCGTCGATTCCCAAGAAAATATGTGAAAATATGGGAATTGGGCGGGAGGACAAAACCCTGAAAATATGGGGAAATATGGTGAATCTTTTATTTGTGTGTATTCATTTGTGTGTCCCAGGGCCCCTTCATATTGGCGGCCCTGTGCGCGGGGGCCTCCTGCACCACGGCCGGGCATCGCGATGGCCGCCTGGCGTGGGCCCTTCTCACCGACTGGAGCTAAGAGAGTGGCCTCTCGCTGGAGTTGCCTAGGGCGCGCCCCAGCGGGGTCCCCCGATCGCCGAAAGCGAAGCGGCAGCAGCGGCTTGCGCGCCCAGGTATGGCCACCCCGCGGCCATCGTCAAGCCGCGCGCCAAAGGTCATTCTTGTCCGGGGTCACTCTTGCGTGTGGCCTACCTGAGGACCTGGCGTTGATTTTTCATCCTTGTTTCGGGCCTGGGATCCTCACATATCGATCGGGCCCGAACAGTGTCGCAGTGTCGCAGAAAAATGGGATCCAGGGCTCTGGTCGTGTTCCTGTGCGATGTTGCAAATTTTTGGGACGTCAGATCTCAGGGTCAGAGATGGCCCCGCATCGGCTCACAATAGTAGGAAGACGACGACGACGAGGATGACGACGACGACAGCGACGACGTCGACGACGGAGATGATGACGAGGACGACGAAGGGACACGAGCGAGGGGGGGAACGAACGACGAGGCGACAGATGATAGGAAAGGAGCGCAGGTCGTCCCAAAAAACGGAAGGTTTTGTCAATCTTCGGCCTCTGGCAGCCTTTGCCAGGCCCCAAGGCCGTCAAACGGCTCGGGATGAAGAGCCAGTCCCAGGGAACGGCCCAGAGTCCAGGCCTCGTGGGGTCCACGTCGTGCAGCATATTGACGTCGGAGGTCTGGGCACATCCATGACCCCCAATCTTGGACGCTGCCCTTGATGACCATCACTCGGTCGGCCTCATGCCTACCATCCGCAGCATCGATAGCGGTTTGAAACTATTGCCAGCCTGGCATACCTTCCCCCCTCTTCTTCTTCTCCTCCTCCTCCTCCTCCTCTTCCTTCTCCTCCTCCTCCTCCTCCTCCTCCTCCTCCTCCTCCCCCTCCTTCTCCTCTTTCTTCTCCTCCTCCACCTCCTCTTTCTCCTCCTCTCCACTCCTCTACTCCCCTCCTCATCCCTTCTGTTCCCTCCTCCCAACCTGTCCTTCTCCAGCGGTTCAGCGCTCCGATCATTCTTACCCTCCTCTCTTCCTCGCCTCGTCCTCCTCCTCCTGCTTCTGCTCTCCGTCGTCCCCGAGCCCGCCCAGCGAACCTCCGCCCAGCAGAGCTCTTCGGGGCGGAGCTGGCCGTGGCGACGAGGAGCCTCCGGGAAGGGCTGCCGCTGTCTAGACTGGCCCTCCTCCTCCTCCTCCCCCTCCTCCTCAACCTCCCCCTCCTCCTCCTCCTCCTCCCCCTTCTCCTCCTCCTCCTCAACCTCCCCCTTCTCCTCCTCCCCTCCGACCGCTCCTCGCGAGGTATCCAGGGCGTGCATGATGTTCCCGAAGTTCGTGAAGCACGCGAGGATCAGCCGCGCGCAGAGGGGTGTGGGTGAGAGGGGGGGTGGGGGCAAGGGCTTCTCAGAAGCACCCCCGCTTCTCAGAAGGCGCGGCCCCTGCCTGTAAGTCCGGCCTGTCCCTCTTCAGGGGGAAAATTCAAAATTGTAACAAAAATAGTCAGGGGACTATTGTGTTGACTATTTTCGAGCATTTTTTTAGTATTTGTTTGAGTATCTGTTTTCATGTTTCGCCCAAAATCCGCCCGTAGTGGGACATGCCCGACCTAATCCTGCCTACAGATGCATGACCGGCGCCCTCTGAGAAGCGGCCTCCTCCCGAGAAGCCTTCCCCCTCCCCCGACCCCCTTGTGCGCGCCGCCACGAGGAGGCAGATCATGCCGGTGACGACGCAGCTGTACGAGGCCTTGAAGGACGCCGCCTTCCCCCCTGCTGAAGCCAGGAGGAGGAGGAGGAGGAGGAGGAGGAGGAGGAGGAGGAGGAGGAGGAGGAGGAGGAGGAGGAGGAGGAGGAGGAGGAGGAGGGGAGCGTCGAGCCCGCCGCCGCTGGGCCGCCTGGCCCGCCGCGGGCCTCCGATGTCGGCGGCGACGGATCGCCGCGCGGCGCTGGCCGCGGCCCGCGGGGCTGCGCTGGCGACGCACGGCGCTGCTGGCCTTGCGCGTGGTGCAGCAGCCGCGCGGCTGCTGCGCTCCGCCGAGGGCCTGGTGCGCGCCGCGGCGGCAATGCTCGAAGCCGAGCTTCGAGCAGCCCGCCCCGCGGCTGGTGGTGGAGGAGACGGCGGCGGAGGTGACCCTGCAGAGCCGCCTCGCGCTCCCGCGGCTGGCACCCCGCCTGATGGCCAGCGGCCACGGCGGCGGCGCCGTCGCGCTCGGCGTCGCCGAGCTCGCGGGGCGCTGGGCGCGCCCATGGCGCCCGCCGACGCCGCCGAGGTGGCGGGCAGCGGCGAGGACGGCGGCGACGGCGGCAGCAGCCTCGAGGACGACGCCTGGGCGGACACCCCCGTGTCCTGCCCTGCGCCCTCGGCTGGTGCGCCCGCCGCCGTGCCTGGCGGCGCTGCCGCTGGGGTGCTGGCTTTGGCGCCCCCCGTTCGTGAGTCGCCTGGAGGCTCGCTCGGCGGCAACAAGGGGGGGGGCGCCATGCAGCCCGCGGAGCAGGCGCCCGCGGCAGCAGCTGCTGCTGCCGTCGGCGCGGCGGACGAGGCTGCCGACGACGAGGTCGGGCAGCGGGCCGCGCTGATCTCAGCGTGGCTCCGCGCGCCCGGCGCCCGCGTTGGCGCTTTCCGGGACTGGCCCCTCCACCGCCTCCGAGCCTGGCTCGTCGAGGCGGTGGACCCGCCCGGCACCGGCGCGGGGAGGGGGAGGCAGCGGAAGGGTCGGCGATAATGCGGCTCCGCCGCCGCCTGCCCCTCCCCCCCCATCCCCGCACATGGAGTTCGCGTTCGGCGTGCTCCAGGTTGTCGCCCGCTGAGGCGATCGAGGGGCCGTGGTGGCGGCCGCCCGTGGGGGCGGAGGGGACCTCTCTCCTCTTCCTCCCTTGCTTAGCGCGCAGGAGGAGGAGGAGGAGAAGGAGGAGGGGGAGGAGGGGGGGGCGGGGGAGGCAGGCGGGCCTCCTCGGCCCCGCTGGCTCCCTCGCGCCCCCATGTCCTGATATATTTCTCCTCGTCTTCATCACTCGCGCTCGAGGCTCGAGGCTCGAGGCTCGAGGATCGAGGATCGATCGAGGATGGATGATCGAGGACTGATCGAGGGTCGAGGAGCGATCGAGGGTCGAGGGTCGATCGAGGCTCGAGCGTCGTCGTCGTGCTCCTCCCCGCCTCCGCTGGCTCGGGGTCAGTCCGCCGATTGGCGCGCAGTGTGGGATGGCGCTGCAGAACCACCCCGGGGGGTGGGTGTGGGCTCGTCACGCAGCAGCGCCCTGGGCGATACTTCGAAATTGGGTTCCTCGGGGAAAAAATAGGGCATGAACATAAACCTCGGCGCTGCGCGCGGAGTTCTTGGATCTGCGCTGGGCGCCCTTGGCGGCGCCTCCGGCGCTGCCCCTGGCGTGCTCCGCGCGCCAGGGAGGGGGGTCCAGCGCAGATCCAGGACATCCGCTCGGACCGTCGAAAAGTCACGTTTATGTTTTTTTTTCTTGTAGATCCGGCCCTCATCATGGGCGTCGCCTTGGTCATTTGGATTATTTGATCGTCCTCCAAGTCCTCCCTGGCGACAGAAAGCTATTCTTCAGATCCCCCGGGGTTCTCTTTGAACCGCCGTCCTGCGTCAAATAGGGGCGCGTTCCTGGCCCGAGTCCAGATCAGGGCTGGACCTCAGTGTTGTTGTGCTGGTCTTCGGCTGTGTTTCGTTGCTTGTTTTTGGCAGGGAGGTGCAGGAGAGCAGGCGGGGCAAAACGAACAACAGGACGAACACGAGACGAAAAACGACGTTCAGGTCCTGGTCCGGGTCGAGTCGCCTCCTCGCGCGGTGGGGAGAGGGCTGCGGGGCGCGCGCGCGCGCTGCAGCGTGCAGCTCTGCCGGTCCACCTGCGCGCGTGCGCGCGCGGCGGAGAGGGGGGGCGAGGACTGCAGAAACGACGTTGGGGTTAGGTTGGGCACGTCCCTCTACAGGGGGAATATTCCCAAATGGTGAAAATACAGGCTGAGGACGATTTTTGTCTGGACTATTTTTGAGAAATGTCGCGCATTTTTTATATATATATATATATATATATATATATATATATATATAAATATAAACAACAATTTGTTCCTCGACAATCTGCCTTTAGGGGGACATGCCCGACCTAACGTTAGGGGGGATGGGCTCAGACGGGGTCAGCATCGATGAGGTGCCCGATGGCCCACCCCCGCCCAGGAACGTGCGGATTTGCAATCGGGGGCCTATCGCCGATCTACCGGCGATGAACCTCGCCCGTTCCAGGGCGACGTCAGCTCCCCCCCCACTGATCCAGCCCCCTCTGTCGCTGCCCCTCGGGGTGGCGAAGAGGGGGATTGAGGACTGGAAGAGGGGGGTCCCCGCCCCTTTCTGGAAATCGAGGATCTAGGAGGAGGAGGAGGAGGAGGAGGAGGAGGAGGAGGAGGAGGAGGAGGAGGAGGAGGAGGAGGAGGGAGGATCTTGTAATCGTGTAGGAGCATGTTCGGGATGTCTTGGGGCGCCCCCTGGACTCTTGGTGGCTTCTGGGTGATCCAGGGGGTGTCCGTCCCCGAAAGGACGTTGGTGACGAGGGGGTCGGGTCGACAGCGGTCGGGGTCCGCGAAGAGGGGGTCGAGTACAAGGTTGAGTAGGATTAGATTTCATTGTCTCCTCCTCCTTGCCCCCTCTCCCTCGCCCCTATTGTTACCCGATAGCCCACCCCGCACAGGAACGTGCGGATTTGCAATCGGGGGCCTATCGCCGATCTATGGACGATGAATATCGCCCTTTCCAGGTCGATGTTCCCCCCCACTTATCCAGCCCCCCCTATCGCTGCCCCTGCGGGTGGCGAAGAGGGGGATTGAGGACTGGAAGAGGGGTGTCCCCGCCCCTTTCTGGAAAGCGAGGATCGAGGAGGAGGAGGAGGAGGAGGAGGAGGAGGAGGAGGAGGAGGAGGAGGAGGAGGAGGAGGAGGAGGAGGAGGAAGAGGAGGAGGAGGAGGAGGAGGAGGAGGAGGGAGGATCGTGTAATCGTGTAGGGGCATGTCCGGAATGTCTTGGGGCGCTCCCTGGACTCCTGGGGTCTTCTTGGTGATCCAGAGGGTGTCCGTCCCCGAAAGGACGTTGGCGAAGAGGGGTCGGGTCGGCGGCGGTCGGGGGCCGCGAGGAGGGGGGCGAGGACAAGGTTGGGTAGGGTTGGATTTCTCCTTCCCCACCCCTTCCTCGCCGCTAGTGTTGCTTCTGTCACGTTGCGCAAATTGCCCCCCGAAGGTGAATAAGCGATTGTCCACATGGCGTTTGGCCGATCCTGCGCGAGATTCTTCGTCTGCCCTCCAGGGGACCGCTTTGCCTTGCCTTGTCTTGCCTTGCCTCGCCTCTCTTCCTCTGTTTCAACACCACTCAGATGATCGCAAACATGGATCAAGGGGGCGTGGGTTAGCGACGCGTCCTGTTTCTGAGGTAAATCGCGTCTTTCCGCCGCCGAGCGAGGCGGTACCGGCCGCATTTTGGGGAGGGCACCTCCCCCGATCCATGGATTTGAACACCGCGCGCCACATCCATGGATCGCCAATCCATGTCTGCGCGCCCCCGACACTCGTCCCTGCCCCCCTCCCTCGTCCGCGCACGCGCCTCGGGCCATGATGCGCCACCCCCCCTCTGACTTGGACGCCTCTTCCTCGGCGCGCCCGAGGCAGGCGCGCCGAGGGCAGCTGCTGTGCCGTCCTGTCCCGCCCTCTCCCCGGGGCCCATCTCGATTCGGTCCGATCCGATCCGCTTCGCTTCGGACTTCAACTTCGTGGCGGTCCGACGCGGCGCGATGCTGGCGCAAGCTGGTCGCAGCCTGTCCGACTCGATTCCGAGCCGATGCAGCCCGATCCGATGCTCGCTCCGGTCCGGCCTGATCTCCCGATGCGGTGCTGGCTGATCTTGTCTTCGAGCTGCGGCGCTTGCCCACGCGCGCGCGAGTCCACCGGGGCCGACGTGGTATTTCGGGGCAGCGCCGCTGTGGCCGCCTGGCGTTTGCCGTTGTCGCCGGCCCCTGGCTCGCAGGACCTCCTGGTAGTGCAGTACATCCCCTCCACCCTGCTGCAGCAGGCCAGCGTGGGCAGCAGGACAGGACGGAGGGCGTGTAGGAGGAGGAGGAGGAAGATGAGGAGGAAGAGGAGGAGGAGGGGGAGGAGGATGAGGAAGAGAAGGAGGATTTGGGGCCAGCGCGCAGACGGCAGCATGACTCCCAAACAAGGGTGTGGCCGGCGCTCGGGCGAGAGCGCCAATCCCATCCAGGAATGGGGCTTGTGCGCGACCCGCAGCATCATCTGCGATGAGGGCTGTGGCCGGCTCTGAGGCGACAGTACCACGTCGTCAACGACGTTGAAATACGCCCTCACTCCAAGTTCCCTCTGCATAGGTCCCCCAAAGAAATTATTGCAACTGCCGGGAAGTGGCCCATTGTTACGTCCTCAATCGTGCCAGAACGCTGTTCCTGGGACTTCGGCCATACGAATCGTTGAAACTGGTGTAAACAGGATGAACTTGCGCGACGCTGAGGCGAGAGTCACACTTTGAAAAAGGAACCGACCTCCATTCGCTAAACCGTTGCAGACTTCTAGGATGAATGTGCGCGGCGCTCAGGCGAGAGCCACATTTAGAACACCCGCCCTCCATCCGTGAAGCTGCTGTGAACGTTTAAAACGAATGTGCGCGGCGCTTCGGTGAGAGCCTCCTTTGAACATGGAATCGCCCTCCATCCGTGAAGCTGTTGCGAACTTTGAGACGAACACGCGCGGCGCTAAAGTGAGAACCACATTTCGGAAAAGAGCCGCCATCCATCCGTGAAGCTCTTGCAAATGTTTAGGAGGAATGCGCGTGGCGCGAAGGCGAGAACCACATTTTGAAAACCACCCGCACTCCATCAGTGAAGCTGCTGTCAACCTTGAACAGGAAGGTTCGCGGCGCTAAGGCGAGAGCCACATGTGAAAATAGGAACCGCCTGCCGTCCGTGAAGTTGTTGCACACTTCTGAGAGGAATGTGCGCGACGCTCAGGTGAGAGCCACAGTTTGAAAACCACCCGCCCTCCATCCGTGAAGCTGTCGCGAACACTTAAGTCCAATGCGCGCGGCGCGAAGGCGAGAGCGGCGAGAGCCACCTTTTGAAAGCGGTCCGCGGGAGCCACGTTTTGAAAACGGTCCGCAAGCGAGACGCCCTGCCCGCCCTACCTGCGCGACTAGGGGTGCGACAGGGAGGAGTTGTTTATGACGGAAATCGGATGGAGGAGGAGGAGGAGGAGGAGGAGGAGGAGGAGGAGGAGGAGGAGGCGGAGGAGGAGGAGGAAGAGAGATGGCCAGTGTAAACCCAAGAGGCATCACCGATGTTGGAATAAGCCCTCCCTCCAAGCTCCTTGTCATAGGCCCCTGCAACGGATCATTTTTACTCAGGTAATTGCCTCGTTGTAAGACAATTGTTTGAAGACCCTGACGCATGCCAAAGCATTGACCTCGGGATTCCAACGCCACGGATCACCCTGACTGTTGCGTCTGAACGATCCTGAATCGTGCCAGAACGCCATTCCTGGGACGTGAATGCCGCGAGTCAACATAACTTGTGCACCCATATAGGCCTGAGTCCTTCCAGGACACCATTTCTAGTCAGTTGATCATGGGACTCCCTGAAACTCTTGCAATGTTTTAAGACGAATGTGCGCGGCGCTAAGGCGAGAGCTACATTTTGAAAAGGAACCGCCAGCAATCCGTAAAACCCTTGCAACTTTACGACGAGTGTGCGCGGCGCTAAGGCGAGAGTAACATTTGAGCACGACTCGCCCTCACTCCGTGAACATCTTGCAGATGTTGAACACCAATGTGCGCGGCGCTAAAGGGAGAGTCACATTACGAAAACGACGTCTTCAATCCGCGAAGCTCTTTCATTTGTTAGAACGAATGTGTACGAATGTGCGCGGCGCTGAGGCGAGAGCCACATTTTGAAAACCACTCTTCCTCAATCCGAGAAGCTCTGGCAAATATTTAAGACGAATGTGTGTGGCGCGAAGGCGAGAGCCACATTACAGGGAGTTCGAAAAACTAGGACGGCATGCCCGGGCTCAGTCTCGCGGGCCTACTCTAAAATCATATCTCTTAATTTCCTTGAAATGTTGCATGCCTTGTCGTCATGGTCGCGGTGATCTTCCCCCAGATTTCCCTCCGGATTGCCCTCCAGGTCTTCACCCAGATCTTCCCCCAGATGTTTCCTTTGATCTCCCCGCAGATCTTCACCCAGATCTCTTCCCAGATCATCGCGCAGATCTTGAGGTCTTCCTCCAGATCGTTATTTAGATCTTCTCCACCCCTGGATCTTCACCCAGATCTTCGCCCAAATTCCCTCCTAGATCTTCACCCAGATCTTCCCTCAGATCCTCGCTTAGATCTCCCCCCAGATCTCCCCCCAGATCTCCCCCCAGATCTTCCCCCAGATCTTCCCCCAGATCTTTCCCCCAGATCTTCCTCCAGATCTTTCCCCCAGATCTTCCTCCAGATCTTTCCCCAAATCTTCCCCCAGATCTTCGCTTAGATGTCTTCGCCCATATCTTCCCCCGGGTCTTCCCCCAGATCTTCTCCCCAGATCTTCCCCCAGATCTTCTTCCAGATCTTCTTCCAGATCTCCCACCAGATCTTCCCCCAGCTCTTCCCCCAGATCTCCCCCCAGATCTTTCCCCAGATCTTCCTCCAGATCTTCCCCCAGATCTTCCCCCAGATCTTCCCCCCAGATCTGGGGGGAAGATCTGGGGGATCGAGGTTCGAGGCCTTCTGGCCTTCGGGGGCGCGAAAAGCTGGCGCGCTGGCGATTCTCTGAAAGGGCGTTGGAGTAACCAGAGCACCGTAGCTCGGCAGATCGGTGCTGGGCATCCTCGAGGAATGCAACAGGTATTTCGGGCAATTTCAGGGCGTGTGGTAACGCCAGCTCATCCAACAGATATTCCGCCAAGTCTTTTCCACGTCTTTCCCCCGATCGCTCTTCGGAGCTTGTTCCCGATCTTCCCCGCGCGTCTTTCTCTACTTCGAGAATGGTGGCTCTTACGCTAGTTGCACCCTATGTATAAGTATCGCAAGTAACATAGCTACTTACATGAGCTACTTATGGGTACTTACTAAGATACTTATAAGTAACTTAAGTTGATGTTCTTAAGTTACTTAAGCTAACACTATAAGATACTTATAAGTTACTTAGGGAAATGAAGCGATCGCGATCGCTTGGGAGGAGGAGGAGGAGGAGGAGAGCGATGTCGATCGCTGTGAGGGGGGGGAGGGGGGGAGGAGAGTGATGAGCGCGGCGGGGCGCGCGGCCTCCTCACCGCGCGCGGCCGCGTCCTCAGTGTACGCGCGGCCTCCTCACCGCGCAGGGGGCTCACCCTCAGGGGCCGCCTCGCCGCCCTGCCCGTCGCGGAAGGCGGTCAAGCAGATCGCCTCCGCCTCGCTCAACGCCTGCAGCTCGGCCTGCTGTTGGAGCCGCCTGAGGACGCTGGAGTCGTTCCACCCATCCCCGCCCAGGGACGCGAGCAGCTCCACCAGCTCATCCTCGGTGGGAGGGCGCACGGTGGCGCTTTCGAACTCCCACGAACGCTGGACCTCCATTGCCTGCTCCCTCTCGGCCGACGGCTGCAACCTCGAGGCGCGGCCGCTTGGGTGGCGGCGGCGGCGCCGCGTCCTTGGAGGTGGCCGCAACGAAAGCGGCGGGCGACGGCATCTTGAAGAACTTCGCGTTGGCCATATTCGGCCACGGGCCGCCTCGCGGCAGCGGGACACTGGACGGCTTCGCGCCGACCAGCCCAGGTGGCAGCGGTTCCGAGGGGAGATCGTCCATGACGCGCCCCCTCCTGCGCGCGCGCGCGCCGTCGCTTGGCCGCGAGCGCCCCGTGCGTCACTCGCGAGGCGAGCCGAAACGGCTGAGCAATCGCCGTCATCGCGAGCCCATCGTCGCCAACGCCCGCCCGAGCGATCGCCATCGCTCCACCCATATTCCCACCCGCGCCCGAGCGATCGACATCGCTCTCCTCCTCCTCATCATCGTCATCCTCCTCTTCCTCCTTCTCCTGCCTCCTCCCCCTTCCAAGCGATCGACATCGCTTCGCCTCCCCCAGCGATCGGCATCGCTCTCTTGCTCCTCATCCTCCTCCTCCTCCTCCTCCTCGCGGCGGTCGAGATCGCGAGCCCCCCTGGCTGCCTATGCAAATCCCGCGGCCCCACTGGCTGCCCATGCACATCGCGATCGGCATCGCTACTCCTCCTCCTCCCTCCGCAGCCCCCTGGCTGCCCATGCAGATCCTGCTCCTCCTCATCCTCCTGCTCCTGCTCCTCCTGCTCCTCCTGCTCCTCCTCCTCCTCCTCCTCCTCCTCCTCCTCCTCCTCCAAGCGATCGCCATCGCTACCTCCCCCAAGCGATCGACATCGATATCCCCCCCCCAAGCTTCTTGTTGGCGCGCGCAGCCTCGCGCCGCCTCACTGCGGGGGCGCAGGCCGCGGCGGCGGGGGCGGCTCAGTCAGGGCGTCCGTGGACGACCCTGGGCGCCCGTCGCCGCCCGCGAGCCCCTCCTCACGGGGGGGCCACGGCGGCGGAGGCGGCTTCGTCAGGGCGTCGGCCATGACCACCGCCGACGCCATGGCCGCCTCCGCCTCGGGGGCGTCGTACAGCCTCTGCAGGCGGATGATCGTCATCGCGTCCTGCTTGAGCTGCGCCAGCGCCGCCGCATGCACCGCGGCGCGGCGGCGCGCGACGCTCAGCAGCTCGGCGGCCCGATCCAGCTCGACGTCGCGCATGTCGATCTGGAGGGCCAAGTGCCGCGCCACCTGGGGGGGTCGTCGTCGTCGTCGTCGCCGCCGCCGCCGCCGTCGTCGTCGCCGCCACCGTCGTCGTCGTCGTCGTCGTCGTCGTCGTCGTCGTCGTCGTCGTCGTCGTCGTCGTCTCGTCGTCGTCTCGTCGTCGTCGTCGTCGTCGTCGTATCCGCCTCCTCCTTCTCCGCCCGCAGCTGGGCGTTCGCCGCGCGCAGCTGCTCGACCTCCCCGCGCAGCTGCTCCACCTCCCCGAGCAGCCGCTCGGGCAAGCT